TTATCACACAATGCTTTAGCCTGAGCTTTAGGTTCCATACAGCTCTCAGAGCCCTTTTCTGTGTCCATGCTCCTCTTTTGCAATTCAGAGTCCTAGTTCTTGTAGCTTGGGGTTTTCCATCTTGGGATGGTGGCAACTAACTCTTCTCCTTTGCCTGTTTCAGATCCTCTACTACTATAACCCCTGCTTCAACCGAGCACATCCCTGGCTGCTGGAAAGGTGCATGAGGAGAGCTGCCCTCAAACGGAGAGCCCCACGTGCAGCAGAGTTGGGTGAGAGGCCCCTTCAGAAGCCCAGAGGATCAGTCTGTGGGAACATGCAGGTGTCTACTAAAGCCCATCCATGCCCACTGGCAACTGCTCCCTTGCTTCCAGAGCCTGATGGAGCACAGTAAAGATAAAAGTCTAATATAATTAGTTATAGATAAAGCCTAATATAGTTGGTAATAAACTGCTTGAATAATAAACCTTTTCCAGTTGTCCTGCCCCATTCAAACAGTGGAAAACACTGCTCTTACATACTTCTTGGCTTTATTGTTCCCACTTGACCTTTAGTGGCCTTAGCAAGACAGATGTCCCAGCACAAGCACGGGGAAATGTTATGGTAGCACCAAGAAGTGCAGAAAAGGCTGAGCTCCTGTTGGCACTGGACAGGATGTCTCTGTCTCCCTGAGGTGGAAATGTTGGAAGGGCAATGATCTGTGCAAGGAAGCAACTCGTTTGGGTGATGGGCAGTGGGCCAAACTCACTCTCTGGTTCTGCCTGCCTCAAACTGGCTTGGAAATACTTCACTGCACAAGGGTCTAGGTTTACTAACTACAATCTGTTCACAGAGGGGAAAGTGCTGTGGGGTAAAAGGTCAGGCGTGTGCCACAGTTTTAATGCTGGTTGGAACCACGGCTGCTCTCATGTTTTGCAAACAGAGGCATCTTTCCCTTAAGCATGTAAAGGCGGCAAATGTAACGGATATTTAAGGTTGTTCTGTGGTCTGCCCTGGTCACACTGATCTGCCATTCCTCTCCACGGCATGCAGGAATGCTGGGTGGGAAGGAGAGCAGGCAGCCGCCCTGGGTCTTCAGGAGGTGCAAGGCCCCTGGGACTGTAGAGCTTTAGAAGAACGACCGGGCAGTTTTGTGTTTGCCTGTGCTGACCAAACTCAGCAGGAGTTTCTCTAGGAAGGATGATGTCCCCCTCCCCACTCTGCTCTCAGCATGCCTGAATGTTCATCCTTTTAGCTCTTCCACTTAACACCTTGTGTGGAAATTTGATACCTTTCAGAAAGGGCAGACCGATACACTCCTCTGATCTGCAGAGTGAGGACCTGGACTTGGGATATTTTGAAACAAAGACTTTTCCCATAAGATTATAGGCTTAAAAGTCAAGGCCAAGTGTGACCCAGTCCAGCAATCAACATTGATTGGAAAGCAGGCTAATGAGGAGAGATGGAAACTGAAGCAACTGGCACTGGTAATACTGATCTGGTTTGGTAGGTGGGTGGTGCTGGACTGTGCAGCATTACCTGCCCCAGCGCCAGGGTCTGTGTGGCAATGCCCCAGCTGGGTGTGAATGATGGGCATGTGGCCCATAAGTGAGGAATTCCATGTCCCAAAGGTCTCAGCTTCGCTCCTGTGAACTCAGCTAGCATTTTCCTAGTATCACTCTCTTTGCACTTTGGGTTCTGTGTTGATGCAATTGTGAGTTCAGCAGAGCCTGAACTCCTCTCACCCCTGCAGGCACCAGCAGGGAAAGTTCAGGGACTGAAAACAGCCACCTGCCCTTGATCAGCAAGATCAGCAGAGCTGGTGCCACTGGTACCAAAGAATTTAAAGGTGGGTTTGAGCTACATTCGTGTAACAGATAAAATGATTTAAGACACTAGAACCAATGTAAGTGGTCATAGAAATTTTGTAGGTGCCAAGCAAGCTGATGATGGGATTCTGGCTGGATCCAGCTTGCCAGGTTTTCTTACTCCTGAATCCTCCTCCTTTAGGCTAGCTCTAGGAATTGTAGGCATGTGTGAGCTCCCTTCCCTCCCTCTCTCCTGGATGGCTGAGGATCTGTGTAGCTTCACACGGGGAGTAGCAGTGAATTCCTCTGGCACTCCAGCATATGTCCTGGTGCTGCTGTCTCTGTCCCCTTGTCACCCTTCCCCTCAGCACTTCAGCTATGTGGCTGAGTAGTGAAAGTGGTACAAACCACCTGCAAAGACAAGGCAGCAAATAAAGCACAGTATTGCAATTAATAGGGTGCCTTCTGGCTCTGTGTTCAGCTTCAGATCCGAGACAGAAATATTTCCTCTCGGTGGTCTGAGCAGCTCCAGAGCCCAGGCTTTGCAGACCCTTTGCTTTACAACAGCAGAGACCCTCAGCATGCTGAGGGCTGAGGAGGGTTGGCGGCTCCCCCAGCCCTGTCAGCTGGTTCCTGTTGTTGCTATAATCAGCTCCTGTCACTTTCC